AGCTTCTGGTTTGTTTCATTTAAATGCAACCGATATCTGCTCATTGAATAGCGCTTATAACCCTATTTGAGCATAATAAGAGACAACATTTAATATGAAATAATTTTAGATTTTCACTTTTTAAACTGATGAAAGTAGCAGTGAATGGAGAGATATCATATACGGTGTTTTCAGCTTGCAGTGGCTCTAGTTTTTATGCGTTTTTGCCTATATGCAAATTGCAAAAATGCATATTGCGACGACCCTGTCTCTGTGTGTGTTCGTCTGTCCGGGTATTTCAACTCGGCAGCCAAGTAAGTTCCAGAGCCAAGATTTTGCTAGTAGGTTCCCTGGCCAAGTGCCACCCCAGAACCGCGGTACCAGCCCTCACGCAAGTCTGGACCCCCTGTACGAGGGGGTGAAAATTTTGGCGGGAAAACTGATAACTCGGGAACGAGAAAAGATAAAAAGCTGAAATTTTGAGGTTATGTTCCCCGTCAACATATAACTCAAAAATTTCAAATTCAGCCTCCAATTGTGCGTGATTCACCCGCACAGACCCTTGAGATTTTTCGGCGGGAAAATGACTAACTCGGGGACTAGCAAAGCTGGGAAGCTGAAATTTTCAGGGAATGTTCCCGGCCCACGTACAACTTGAATTTATCAAATTCAGCCCCCGGGCATGCGCGGTTTTCAAGTACGGCCCCGAGAGATTTTTCGGCGGGAAATGATTAAGTTGGGAACTAGCAAAGCTGGGAGGCTGAAATTTGCAGGGAATGTCCTCGGCCCATGTACGACTTGAAGTTTTCAAATTCAGCCCCGAGCCTTACATGGTTCTCACCTATGGCCCCGTAAAACTTTTTTGGAACTTTTTTGGCGGGAAGTTGTTAAATTGCTAATCGCTAAACGGAAATTGTTTATTTCATTTTATGCAAAATTTACGATGATTTACGGTATTGAGCAGACAAGGTAGATGTGAAGCGTTCATGCAGTTAACCTAATTACTTCAAGTTTGATGCAAAAACGCATGATCGCACCAGCTCGCCTGGTGCATTCCAGCCTGGGTTTTTTTTTTCCAGCTTAACTGTCTTATGCAAAGCTGTTGCCACAGGCCTAAGAATTGCTTAACTGCCGGAGCCAGATAATTTAATACTCCCCGTGAATTTAGCAGCAGCCTGGCTGAAGATGTCTCGGCACTGTTCGTGGTAGCGTTGTTTCGGAGCACAGTTTGTAATATTAGTGAAATCAGCTTTCGTCACACAATCTATGATGCAAGTTGTCCCATTTGATGAAGGCAACTACCTCAGTGAAGCAAGTATGCTTCAAGCTCCATCAGAAGATAACTGTCGTTGAAATCCCCGATCTTACTGAATCACACTAAAACTCTATCGAACCTTCCTGTCCTGAGCAAATTGCCTCCGTTTTTGTATTGACATTCTGCACTGCATACATATGCCGCTTCTTCGTACACCATCATTGTAGTCTTTTTTTACTGACAGGCATCAATTCATAATTTTTAACGTCTGCAAGTTATTTCAGCAATGTTCTTACTTCATCTCGATTCGTTTTTCGGGGATAGAATGGCTGGTCACTAAAAAAAATTTTCCATCCCAATTCTTCCCAGCGATTTATTGAAGTGATAAGAGCGTGTCCTGTGCACGCATAATTGATTAACTTCGAAAATAAAATTTTGCAAGTGTATGTTAGTGATGATTCAGCATTGGTTGAGAGAAATAGCTGCTCAGCGGACAAAATTTTATTTACTCTTTTTGAGATTAGCTTTATTCCCTTAAAAAAAAAAGAAATTACATGTATGTTTGATCATAGTTTTTTCTTTTTTTTTTTGATGTCGCATACTGACAAGATTTTTTAAGAATTTTAAAAACTTAGTGCTTTTTTTTATTTTTTTTCAATACTTTGAAATTTTACGATTAAATTTAGATGTGATATACGATCCGTTATCTGTCGGACCTCTTGCTAGCGCTATTAAGAAACTACTTGTTGCTTCATTTAATATGGATCCAGCTAACACTTGCTGTTGTATTCTTGCAAATACATTGAGAAATCACGAAACCATGGAAAAATTCCTTCTCTGTGCAGGTTGAACCCTTGAAATCTGTTTTTTTGTAATAAAGTGCGGATTTAGTTCGTGAATAAAGCAACGAAGGAGCATAAATCTAAGATGGCCTGTTTGATGAACAAATGCGTCGGAGCATGGGATAATAGCCTGTTAGGGGGCTTGGTGGAATGGAAAGTGGTTCCTGGTCGGGTCCGTGACTGGGCAAATATCAGTTCAGGGTCCCTCCTTTCAATTTCACTCTCTATTTATTGCCATACTTGTTACTGTTATTTGCTGCTGTATTTTTGATTGTGGTTTTTTAGACTAGTTACCATAAACCAAAATCTGTTATCATTCCCTCCATGTGCTTCCTGATAAGTTTTAATGAGTTAGTATCATTTGGTTGGTGGAGTAAATCTACAGATATTATGGGAAGTTTTGGGGAGCTTACTTACTGATAACCGAATATAATCATGTTTTGAAAAATAACAGTTTTGATGATGGAATGAGGATGATAATGAAAAAAAATTTTATTCTGCAATCCACTGAAGCTAATCGCCATGGTTCGATGGTTCGTTTTCATCCCACAAAAGAATTGCTGGTGGTGTGAAATTGAAAAGTGCCATTTTGCTCCCATGTGCGGAAATTTATGAAATGATTTTTTCATCTTCCATACTATACTTACTCCCCGAATTCTCGGTCTGTGGATTTAATATTAGCTTTGTTACTGGAATGCTTTCATATATCGAGCGTAGCTGTACCAACCCTACGAACTGCATATCTTTCGGTAATCTCTGGGGGCGGAAGGGTTTATAAATCTTTTCTAGGTAGAAATTCTGTATAGGCATTTATGGTTTATGCTTTTTCATCTTTCGTCATATTTTTTAGGCGAAGAAGGACTTATCGTCGAGGAGCAGTTTCGCTTCGAAAATGGGGCATTTTCTTTTTCCAATGAAAATATGGGCAGCGAAACTCTGTTTCCATTTACTGCTAGCGTAAACTGTCCAACTGTATTCCACAAACTTATTTTGAGGGTCGTTCCAGTTCATCCGGAAATTGGTTGGTTTCAATCACCATTTGCTTGACTTGACACATTTCATCGCTGTTTAAACTTCTCTGTGAAAAAAACAGTCCTTTTCATGGATCTCTGTTTTCTTTCCTGGCGTGATATGGCTACTGTACCACTGCATGCTTCTGACGCAATTCGTAAAAGAGGAGAATCGTCGATAGCTTTCTTATCCGCAGATTATTGTTAATTAATGGAGTGCCATTCATTTGAAACTCATTTCCGAGTGGCTTTGCCTTTTGTAATGAACCAAGAAGAAAGTCTATGATGATTAGTTTGCTAACTGTTCTTGATAGAAATCTGGGATCGACGTTTCAGATATCTTTTCCTTTGTTGAAATGAGGACTTCATGGACTGTGAAGACCTTAGGCTGCTTGACTCACCTTCGTCGAGGCCACTGCCCCACTGGCTGAGGTAGGCAGTAAGCGCACTAAACCGCCTTTCTGCTGCTTTTACAACCAACCGAGAACCTTTAAATTCACGATTTCACGGTCGTGAGCTTTAATTGTGCCCGGAATATCCCATGTCAGCGATTTTACTGGGATTTTCCCACGCATCGAGCCCCTTCTAAATAGATTTTGGAATAAACGCATCTGTCAGTAGTTCCGTTATGTTTCAACATAGCTGAGATTTGGCCTGAACGTTAAGAATTTTTCTACAACTTTAGTCCATCGATTTCAAAACGGGCTTTTTTTTAACCACAGCAGTTTTTGATGAAATTGAAACATGGTTGTTTTTAAAGGATAAATAAGTGCTATTTATAATGGCATGGATAATAACGATGAAACCACTGAAAATGGAGGTCGAATCTCACCACGAATTGCTCATTCAACACTTCTTGCTGGAACGGAGAGATGATTTATTATTTGGATTTGTTTTCTTATTTCGTTAATTGTGTGCCTTGTTCTGTGAATAAATATTTTTATTCCATTTTCTCCCTGGGTGCTTTTTCCGCACAGGTCAAGTTATGCTTTTCCCATTCATTTCTCGATATTTCAATAATTTTATCCATCAAATTTTAATTTGCCGGCATCGCACCATGGAAAATAGTGAATTTGCTTTCATGCTTTAACTGCTCCAGTAGGATGTCCAGTTCCCCGATGGTTCTTTCATTCAATTTCGATGGTAAATTGATTCTGACTTTGCCAGGAAGTCAAAATCGCCATCAGCTTCTTTCAAAAAGTTTTTGGAAGAAGTGTTGCTAGCGATTTCGTCTGTTGCACCACTCCGACTACTTCCCAGGTCCTCTTCCGCCTCTCAGGGGAAATGAATATGAAGAGAATCG